CCCCGTGAACAGACTAGAGATGTGCAAATGCACAGCGGACTCTCTACCTGCACTCACGGCTTCCTCCGCACCGATACAGTGCGGCGCCATCTCCAGCCTCCCTACACTGGCCCTTTCAGAGTCCTGCAACTGACTGTGAAATATTTCAATTTAGACCAGAATGGTCACCGAACAACGGTGTCCATCAACCCTCTCAAACTGGTTTTCTTTGATGAACCACTTGCAACCCATCCGGATGCTATCACACAAGCACCCGGGCCTGAGGTGACTTCCCGAGCACTGGATATCCCGATACCCTCCGTTCCGCTTGACCCGCAATCTACCCCTTCTCAACCGCAGGCAACTGACCGAAGCAGTAGACAGCTCAAACTCAAGGTCCGTTTTTCTGATTTTATAAACGTTTGCTATTTCCATTAACACGCCCTTTTCGTCTTTAGTGATAATTGTGCGTCTAATCCACAAAGCATTTTTAAAATCGACAAAAAACCCAAAACATTTTGAAAACTTAAAAGCGTATTTGTGTTTATCACGAATGCCATGTACCCTCTCCGGCTTCAAGCCACTTCCTCCGACCCTTGCCCACCCTCACTGAGTTCTAACTTACAGAAACTCAACTGCCGGAACTGTCAAGGCAACCCTCGTGTGACTCGCCAACCGGCTCAACGCAACCCCCGGACGAATGGCCAGCCGACCCAAGGCTCAGTTCCTGACCCAAGGAACAGTCAGTCACCCTAGGCAGTCAGCCACGAACGGGTTGGTCCCCAAACGCTTGTCTAGGCGTTGCCGGCAAGGACGCCGGATTTTTTTGTGGCATGAAGACGCCCGGATTTCTTTGTGTGAAGAGGACTGTGGACTGGAGTGCGGTGGGGAGAGTGACACCTCCCAAGCCCACCGTCGTGTCTGCAACGGTGGGAATGTTCTGTCGGCCTTTTATTGGACTAGCCAGTTTTGCAGCCCGACCAGCCCGCCCCGAGGGCCCACGGGTGATGCATTCTGGTCCACACGGTCATCATAAATAAATAATTAATAAATAATAATAATAATAATAAAAGCCTGTACCCAACGAACTCCGCTACACACGTCATCTTGGAAGCCCTTGTTCAAGACCGTGCAACTGTTCGCACCCATCCTCACCTTCCATTTTCCATCACTAACAGCTTTATCGTAGGCTTCCATCCTTCAGCGTCCTAGGGGTAGGCCATTGTGGGGTATCGGAAAACACGTCCTTTCAGTATTTGGCAACATTAGATTTGACCGTTGTTTTAATCTCCAAAAGTTCACCTGTTTTACTGAGGGCCCTTCCGTTGACACAAAGCTTTTTAGCGAGTACGTTGCTGCACCGTTGCTCGCTCTGGTTGCTTCGCTACCTATTTTTGCAGCCTGCACAATACGCGTTAGGTTTAGTCGGCTCCAACTTCTATACTTTCCCGTATTTAGTACGGCGCTTACTTTTCATTGCTCACCGACTATTATCCCAGGCTCCACCCAACAATACTAAGCAGGCCATGATATGAGGTGACAGTCGTTGGAAAAATGCATAAAGGATATAATTCAATAAGAGTCGACTGGACTGCGGATTGGAGCCTTATGTGAACAGAAAGTGTCTTAGTCTGCTGTCCTGCCATTAATTGGTACCTGGGTCCGCGTAGGTGACCGACATCATGCTCTCTACCTCGGAAATAGTTGACGCGATTTCCTTTTGATGACACGGAATATGGCCTATGTACCCACCAATTTTATACCACCTCCACTAAATGCTTGTAGTGTCTCGAAAGCAACGGACTTGTCCCTGAACTAACGGCTACATGAACATAACTGAATTGGTTCTCACTGGCACGCGCTGTCTGCCCAGGAAAACTAAGCCCAAAGCATTACATTAAGTAAGTTGCAGCCAGCTGTTAATGGTGTACCGTTTGAAGAAGCATGCTCCAATGTTTGCAAATAATTTCACCTTGAGTGCGCTCCTCTAACTTTGAGTGAATCAAGGAAAAGCAATATTCTAATCGATGGTTTCTGTTCCTACTCAGTGTACGGCTGTTGCGTACAGCATATGTATACCTGTGTTGGTACAGGAGTGTGGCATATTGGCAAAGATCGTAGAGTAAGCAGCCACTGTGAGCACTGTCCCATCGAGCCCAGGCGAAACGATGCCTTGAAGTCGAGGCACAACATCAAGCTCCAATTCAGACCACGGCAGGCAGGTTTGACGTGGGAGCAGTGGTACTATGTCGGATATCTCGATCACATTTACTCCTACCTCGACTCAAGGGATTACCCTTAATGATAACTTTTTAGTGCGTGCTTCATCAAAATGTCCAATTTCGCTGTAGGACCGACAACCTGCGCGTCCGTTGTTACCACACTCATAACAAAGGCACCGTCCATTGTAGAATGGAAACTGTCACACTATTAGCAGTCAATGCTGCCAACACTACTGCAGGACCTAGGCTGCCGTCTGTTGTCCAGCAAAACACCTCCAAAAGGAGAACAGAAGATAGCAAAATACTCCTCTTACTGTTATACGCTCCATTTTACTTGAATCGGATGCAAAATATATCAACGACAGGCAAACGAACGACCGGAAACAGACTGACTGCAGTTGTCTAAGCTAAACCGGCCAGTATGGTGCATGTCATACATCATCCAAACTCAGTACACTACGGCGAACCACAGCTACTCCAAATAGCTTTTTAGTCGGGAGATGATACAGTGTCCGTTCTCTTGTCAGCTACTCCTCTCCAAATTACTTTCCGCACAAACCAGATGGGCTTTGGAGCGAACGTCAGAGATACAAACAAAAACTTGACAACCACTGAAAACACGGAGGTAAAATAGGTCCTCGTCCGTGGTGCATCCGTGTGTTGGACTTCAAGTAGCTAGAGACAAAAGTGCATGATTAGGGTGATGGGCGCTTCATCCGTGAAGTGTGCTTTCTCGGAAACTGGACCACCACTTTGACCACAAGGTTATCATTATTACCCAACTAGTAAGAGTGTGCTCCCCGAGTGATGAAAATAACACTGTAATTCAAATTCATTGCCGGAAAGGCATTCGGAATGTGAAACAGCATCATGCCATCCAAAATAAGTATCAAATCGATTGGCACCTGGTAAAATTAGACGGAAAAAGCAGTTCTGTAAGTGACCCGGTCCGCATGCACCACAGAACCGTAACACTGAAGGACGTCTAGATTGTCTGCCAATCACTGACACTGAGTGCTCTACGTACCATCTCGAAAAGGCCCCTTAACTTGTGTCGGCTGTTCAACAAAGAGAACAACTATCATCTGATTGCATAAGGTTAGGCATAGGTCCTCACCTGAAATTCGCAACCATACATATGCTTCCAACTCCTGACGACTTCACCTGCTTGTATACCAACGTGGAAGTTTTCCTCAGGAAGTTAACCCAGCTTACAACACCTTACGACATCGCCATGATACCCGAAATATGGTTGCGTACGGAGCAGGTTCTACTTTGCAGCATTCTCCTATAAAACAACATACACAGAAGAGGTGGGAGTTTTCCTGTATTGTAGATTTGACTAACACAGATATCATCGATGATCCGCAAACGTAAGTTGTCGCTTCCCTCTCATGGTGTCTACACCATAGATGTAGTGATGTATGTTTACTAGCAATAGGGTACATCCTTCCAATGTACACATCGAAGCAGAATAGCAGACTGTACCATTTTACAAGCATGTTAGCGCATTGTACCAAACTTTTAGCGTGGTACATTTTTCAAATTACGTGCTGTGTATTCAAGTTCGCAAGGCTAAGAACGCTGTCTTAGGGCGGCATTTAGATGTCTATAGAACTCTAACAGCTAACTTTGTTTGAGTCACAGTTTGGAGCCACGTACATGGCTTATTCTTGTGGTACTCAGTTGACTGGAATAGCTGGTGGTTAGTTGATGGATGACGTAAAATCATTAAAATGTCTATTGAGATTTGATCAGACTAGCATGTATCACTTGTCTGACTGAAATTTGGCTACGCGTTTCTCACAGCTTCACAGCTATATCCATACACTCTATGCTTCGCGTTTAGTTGTCTATCTTCCGGTCTTTGTACGTTCCACCAGTTTTGATCCTTTTCCTCATACTACTTTGGGCGTGTTTTCTTCGTTTCACTTCGCTGTTGTTAGTGGTCATGGCATTGATGATGCGATGTATGCTTACCTTTCGCACCACACATCGGCTAGCCAACCTGTTCGCCTAGCCAGCCGAACAACACGTGGTGCCAGCTGGGTGGTTCGGGTTAATCCCGATCCAGCTAATAGTTCGGCGGCAGTGTTCCAGGACGTGGTTGGTTTTCGCCTGGCAGGCCTTCACCCTATAAAAAGCCACAAATGTCTGCTTACAAACACTGTGACGTGGCGGATGTGACTCGCCACTAAATGAAATCACTACTTCTTGTCTTACCGGAGGATATTACTCATTGCACGAAAGTCAACCACTACAAAATTTCATCTGATCCATTCCTATATTGGCGAAATCGCCGAACAAACTCACAAATTCACAGTAGTAGTAACAAATTCGCTCAACATGATGAGTTACACATGCAGCCGAATGAATACTACACATACACACATGTATCCAGTATGTACTGGTTAACTTGCAACATTTCCTAACCATTGCTCGTGTTATGCGTCGTATTACCATGATCATGCTTTTTAAAGTGTGTCGCGCATCATCGAGAATAAATCATTTATTTCGGAATATGCTTGGAACCGACTGGGATTTCATGATTTCAGAAGGTTCGAATACAAATCGGTTTTGGTAGGGTTTTACTGTGGCAACAATTGTGGTCACAATAAAACCCTACCAAAACCGATTTGTATTCAAACCTTCTGAAATCATTTATTTATTTATTAATCACAGGTCTGTACTACAGACGTGTGAATTTATAGCATCATGAAAGGAACGCAGTTAAAATGCCAAATTGACCAAACTATACACACCTACATTCATGTCACTTTGTCATCTGTGCCCGGCCTGCTACCACGGCAAGGCCAGGGTCACAAATGCGTCTTTCTGCACACACAGAGTTGGGCCAAGTTGTTTGATAGCCACGGCCTCAGCATATCGCAAAGTCAGGGGGTTCATTGATGTATAGATAACACGGAACGCCCGCACGGGGTCTACACAGTGATTGTCAGCCAGCAGATGGCGGGCGATTGATGAAGCTGGTTGTTTGTATGGAACTTCATTTCGCTTCCTTGGCTGCGCATTCAAGGTGGTGGACGTGGTCATCTGCGAAACGTTTTTACTCACCCACGCAGGTATGTGCTCCGTGATCCTCACCCTCAAGTGTCGTTCTGTCATGCCCACGTATTCGGCCTTGCAAATACAGGTAAATTGGTAAAGGATATGTAAACGGCTGGACAGTGACAGCGGGGGTTTAACCGATGGCGTAGGGATACGATTCGTTGTGTAGATGAGTACTGGTTCCGCCGCAGGGTATACGCGCGCCACTGCGGATTTCAATCGGCGTTGAAAAGCCTGGCATACGTCGTCGCCCTTGAATGGCAATTGCAGGGTTACCTTCATCTTTGGTACCGTAGGCACACACGTTTTCTCTTTCTCAGCACTAAACTGAGCGATGAAAGACGGTGGGTACCCATTGTCTACGAGGGTGCTGGTTATCAGCCGCACCTCTTGTTCCAGCGTGTCAGCAGTGCATATTTTTCTAGCTGTGCGAGGAAAATTCATGGCCAGCATCGATATCATCTCACTATTTACCAATGTGCCACTAACAGAGACGATTCAGATTATTTGTATTCATGTGGTCGAGAATCAAGTAGAAATAGGCATACCAGTCTCGGAATTAGAACGACTTCTTCTGTTATGTACATCAAATGTCAAGTTCTATTTTCAAGAACAGGGCTATCGTCAAGTGGATGGTGTTGCAATGGGCAGTCCGCTGGGACCGGTATTAGCAGACATTTTCGTCGCCCATCTCGAGAATCAGGTCAGGGACGAGATCAATGGAACAGTGTTGTTTCGTAGGTATGTTGACGACATTTTGTTAATCTGCGACAGCGAGTATCATTTAGCTCAACTGGTTACTAAGTTGAATGGCTTACACCCAAACATTAAAGTGACAAGGGAGCACGAACAGTATGATACGCTGCCGTTCTTGGATATCCTGATTGAGCGTAGAAGTGACGGTTCAGTACGCAGATCAGTTTACCGCAAGCCAACATGGAAGGGACAGTACTTGAACTTCTACAGCTTTATCCCTAAGCGGTACAAACAAGATCTGGGGAAGAGTTTGTTCAACAGGGCTAGAAAAATGTACACTGCTGACACACTGGAACAATAGGTGCGGCTGATAACCAACCCCTTCTTAGACAATGGGTACCCACCGTTATTCATCACTCTGTTTAGTGCTGAGAAAGAGAAAACGTGTGTGCCTACGGTACCAAAGATGAAGGTAACCCTGCAATTGCCATTCAAGGGCGACGACGTATGCCAGGCTTTTCAACGCCGATTGAAATCCGCAGTGGCGCGCGTATACCCTGCGGCGGAACCAGTACTCATCTACACAACGAATCGTATCCCTACGCCATCGGTTAAACCCCCGCTGTCACTGTCCAGCCGTTCACATATCCTTTACCAATTTACCTGTATTTGCAAGGCCGAATACGTGGGCATGACAGAACGACACTTGAGGGTGAGGATCACGGAGCACATACCTGCGTGGGTGAGTAAACACGTTTCGCAGATGACCACGTCCACCACCTTGAATGCGCAGCCAAGGAAGCGAAATGAAGTTCCATACAAACAACCAGCTTCATCAATCGCCCGCCATCTGCTGGCTGACAATCACTGTGTAGACCCCGTGCGGGCGTTCCGTGTTATCTATACATCAATGAACCCCCTAACTTTGCGATATGCTGAGGCCGTGGCTATCAAACAACTTGGCCCAACTCTGTGTGTGCAGAAAGACGCATTTGTGACCCTGGCCTTGCCGTGGTAGCAGGCCGGGCACAGATGACAAAGTGACATGAATGTAGGTGTGTATAGTTTGGTCAATTTGGCATTTTAACTGCGTTCCTTTCATGATGCTATAAATTCACACGTCTGTAGTACGCACTTGAAAATATGCAGAGAAATTATTCCGGAATTAAATCGTGCGGCACTCTTGTGTTAACTTTTCTGCTAAAAGGTTCCTCGGGAACTAATTGTTTCAATAATCACAGGTCATTATTTCAACTGAACCGATCGCTAGTCTTTCGACACCTTACGTTTATTGTTTCTCAACTTCACAGACTTCGCGTATTTCATGCTTGCTTGACATGCAATGTGAAGTAAGCATAGTCCTTTAATTTGAGGTGATATCTCCGTTGGATGAAATTGGATGCTGTCCGTGGAAGATGTTGCATGTGTGAATTCTTGTTGCACTAGTTTTAGATGACCTTATTCAGCGGTTACACAAGACTACCGTGGTTTATCACAACATAAATTGCCGTACACTTTGAGGTTGGTTGTTGTATTCTATGCACGCATCGGGAAACCCAGAAAGTCCGAGCAACGACACCCACTTATTGTTTTATGTCAGATCGAAACCAGTGATCA